CAAGACGAGCAATTAAAAGTTAAGATGAAGAAACAATCCATACCTGAATAATCTTGAAACTAAGGTTGTAGGGAGTGGGTTGACGGGGTTTGAGTGGTATTTATGGCCATATGTATAATGTTGCACTCTGTAATGAGTACATAAATAAATGTGATTAATCCCGTGACCCCCGTCATTCATCAAATTGTTTGTTGTGTACTGTGATTGGACCAATTTTTTAGGGGGCATTTGTTTTCAAGTCCCACATCATGGAGAAAGTCCATGACATCCATGTTTGAGTTGTCTACCATGTCCAGATAGTTAGTAGATAATACTGAAAAAAAAAAAATTCGAGTGTAACATTTTTGGTGCTCTGGTCATTCCAGGACACTGGTAGACTCCATGCCAGTGCCTAAATGCAGCCAGAATATGGTGGGAAATTCTACCAGTCTGCTAATGTGACATGAAATGACTGTCAGTGCAGGGATGGACGTGACAATAATGTCACCAAACCTGTGACAACATTCCTGATCATGCCGTGATGTTGAACCTGGAGTCCGTGGAAGTCTATCATCTTGTGCCCCCCAGTCTAATGACGGGAGTAAGAAAGGGGAAAACTGCCAGGACCTTCTCTTCATGAAGACCCAGAGCAAGGACACTGTCTCCCCAGCCCCATAGATCAGCCAGTGCTGAATGTCAAACCGCACAGCAGCCACTGCGGTGCCAGGAGTCCCCCTCTCGCTCTCTCTCTGGCCCGTGATCTGCTGTCTGGTGACACCACTGTGCTAATGACCCGGTTTGGGAGTTGCTCCATGGGGCTCCTTGGCTTGGGAAGATGGAAGTTGTGGATATCCAGCTGGAAGGTCACTGTTGATGAGGACCACTCACTTCACATTCCCTTTACTTTGTTGACATTTTTTTATTACAAAGTGATGCTGTGACGGGGAGGCTGTCACTGACCAGTCGGCTGAAACATAGATGCTGTTGTTAACTGGCCGGACAGTGACAATAACAGGAGGAGTTTGTGTAAATATATGCTGAACTTCCCCACAGTGGTGTTTATATGAGGAGCCTACATATGAAAATGTCTGCTTTGCTGTTTAATTACTTAATAATTAGCAAAATTCCAAATCTGGAAAGCAGCACTCATGCGGTAGTTGCCAACACTGAAGCCTTGTGATTCTCTCCTCTCTGTGCTGGTTTTGTTCTTTTTTTAATCAGTTTACTGAGAGAGTGTGTCTCGCTGCTGGGTGAGGGCAGTGTTTTTCAGTCACATGCTTTCTTTCTTTTTATTTTTTTTTCTCAGCCTCAGGAGTTTGGCTGGTTGGAGCAGAGTGTTAAGACTCCTGGGAGAACTCCTCTGGTGATGGGGGCACCGCCTCGACCTCACTCATGCCTGGTGTGGGTGGCATCCAACCAGGGAGATGCACAATGGAGATCGAGGCTGGAGATGGTGATGTTTGTGGTGCACCCTCCCAGGATGGAGCCTTATTCTCAGGGTCATGCATTCCAGCAATCTCTGTAATTATAAGCAAGAGAGAGGGAGAGGGAAGAGGAAGAGAAAAAAAAAGTTGAATCTTCTGCTTTTCTCAAAATGATCGCACCCCACTCCTCAAGGGAAACATTCACATCTCAGAGTTCTAGTAGCTGGATGGGTTTTAATGAGGCAAGTCAAGAGTGTGTTTGTGTGTGTGTGGTCGCTGCACATGCATGTCTGCGTATCTGCCCTCCTCTAACGAGTGTAATTGACCGACTGTGCTTTTAAGCTGCCATTTTCACCGTTTGTGAGAGCGTTCGGCTAAATAGCCTTCAGTGATTATTATTTTTACTGGAGATGTTGGGATTAAAAGTTTCTGAGTTTTAAAGTTCAAACTTGGCTTTTTTTACGGCTTTATTATCATTATTTATTTATTTTTTTGACCATGTGCTGCTGGAGCCAAATGGACGGAGGGTGAAGGGGTCATAGGTCAGAAGGAGATGCTGTAAGACTCGGCATCCAGGGGCCACTGCTTTCACTGGGGAACTGTTGGAAATGTTGAGAAACAGAGTAAAAAATCTAATGCTGCAGCACACACACAGACACACACAGACACACACACACACATTCTAGAACAACTCTCATCACCTGTAGGTAGAAGCAGGTGAAATAAAAACAGTCTTCCCGTTTCATCTATTCTCACAGATTCTGTCCTTTTTGCATGGGCAACACTGTGGAAAAGTGGTTAGCATGCTTGACTTACAATATGGGAATGGCAGATTTAGTCCAGGGTGGAAACAGATGTTTTTTTCTGTGTGGATATTACCATGTGCAGGTACTGTAGTTCCATCCCAGAGTCAGCCCACCAAACCGTCCAATCTGGCTCGTGGATCCATTCTAAAAGTTTGAAGATCATTGTGTGGTCCCCACTATTGAAGTAACTAGCTGTAATCCCCACTATTCATGACTCTTTTTACATTCCGTAAAATTATTTTTATTATGATTTTTATTTTATTTTATTTGGGCATCCGGCCCCCAAGGTTTCTGTCCAGAAAAATTCAGGTGACCCCTTTGCTCTACAGTGGCTGTGAGTGTTAGCCCGTGGACTCTTTTTGCTGTTGTGCGTAATTTTGCGGTGCATACATATTAGCAGCGTTGGTGAAAACATGTCAACTCTGTGTGTTTATCTTTGTTCAATTCTCCCGCTCGGCGATAGGAATCGAAACAAAAAGCACTTTGTCTGTTTTCATTGTGCCTATTTGCTCTCCCAAAAATTATATTTCATCCTCCCCTCCATATTTATGAGGGTATCCATGAGGGACGGGCCATGTCAGGCTCTTTTCTGGAGCTTCAGGAGCAACCTTACTCAGACGAGGTTTCTTTCTCTTGAAGGTGAGAAAAAGAAAGAATTGCCTTCTGAGCAGGAGACTACTGTAACTGAGAGATGGAGCTGCTCTCAGCCAAGTCAACCCCT